GGGGTGGGGGCGGGAAGGAGGTAAAGAAAGTTGTTTTCCTGGGACCCAGAATCTCCTGGGATTCCATCCTAATGAGCGGGCGCACTCTCTAACCACGTATTCATTAATTTCGGAAGGATGGATGGGAGTTTGGAGAGCTGAGCAGACACGCGAGACAAGCTGCAAAGTTCGTCAACTCCAGGACGTCTGAGTCCAAGGAGCTGGTTCAGGGAGAGTTAGGGACCTGAGAGGGATCAGGGCCCCGGCTGCAAGAAATTCTGTTTTCACTCCCTGGCCTCAGGGAGAGTACCAACCAGTACCACTTTCTGGACTATTCAATTCTGGAAGCTGACCTTCAGCTGACCCCAGCCATGTCCCCTCCCTGCTACCTCTGTGGAACACCCAACCCTATGTTCGGGATGGTTGGGGAAGGATCCGGATTCATGCACTGCTCTCTGAGAATTTGCCACAAGATTACTGCTGAGTGACTCCTTAGTCCTTGGGGCTGGATCCTGGCATCAGCGGGTCTCTAGCAATTAGCACACTGGTACTGTGTCTCTGGAGAGGCACCGCCACTATGTTGAGCTTTGGTCTACAAGTTCGCTCTGACTTTTTTAGGTCCCGGGCCTAGGGAAATGGTAATGGAAATGCGCCCCAAAAGACATAGCTGGAGGAAACCCTGTCTTACACATAGGCCTTTAGGACAGAACCTGCCCTAGGTGACGTTGGCTTGGGCGGGAGGAGGAAGACTCTGCACCAAGGGATTGCACTCACCCCCTGCCACAGGTTAATGCTGGAGCAAGGGACCCCCATAAGTTTGCAACTGGAATCTTAGCAGCTGCCAATAAATGGGTGACGTTCTGGCCAGGGCAAGGCCTCTTGGGAGTACGAGGGAGCCGAGATCACTCCCTTCCCTGAGATAGAAAGGCAGCAAGTTCCAAGAGCAGGGGAAGGCCTGGAGGGAAGTCGGGCAGGGCATTCCTCCGCTATACCTTGAGCCAGGGAATTTGCATGTCTCAGGGAGACAAAGCTTGGGTTACTTCCATTACCAGCAGCAAAGGAATCCAAGAGACATCTCTACAACAGGGCACCTGGCTTTCCAGACCACTTAGGAGATGTCCCCTAGGAAGAAGACATTCAGATGGGATGGAGCCTCCTACGGTGTACAAATCTCATCTCCTGCTCGGAACTTCACAGAGGGCCATGATGTTTCCTGCACCTTTCCACTTTCCTTTTTCTTCTGAATCAGGGCCCTTGGCCAACAGTCCTCAGGATGTCTAGAAAACTCCAAACAGTAGAGTCCTTAAAGACTCTCTTGGATCCCTAAAGAAAGGCCCATGCAACCTGGTGATTTAATGTGGCTTTCGCCAGGTTATCTGGAAAATTGATCCTGACTCAGGCCAAATCCTGAAACTTGGCTCTTGTGGGACAGGATGGGAAGCAAGTTTGGAGCTGGCCTCTCGTGGGCCAGCATCTCAAGCTTTGCCTCCCTGAGGAGTCCTGGCTTTCTTGCCTGGAGCTGGTCTGCAGGGCAGGACAGGACAAGGTGAGCCTTTTTCAGACACCTAGCTTCCACATCACTCCTTCCTAGGTCTCCAACAATGCACAAACCCAGAAATCCGGGATAACGAAATTCAAGATTTGCTAGTTGCTGAAGAGTTCTCCATCCCAATCCAAGCTCCCAAAGGGGCGACCCCAAAACTATGGCCTCAGTGTCCACCAGAGGTCAACCAGGTTCTGGTTCTTGGGGCGGGAAGGGAAAAGCCCAAGGAGCTGAGAACCCTTCTGTAGCTCTATTCAAGAGGGAGCAACAGTGAAGAAACGTCTGCATCCTATTTAAGAGAAATTAATCAGACGCTATGCAGGGTCTAGGGCGCAGCGCTGCGCCCTGTACTGCAGCTTGAATGGATTGAAGAGGGCAAGACCCAGGACACCTAAGAGCTACGAGAGTAATATTTGGTGAAGTCCTATTCGTTTAGGATTCGCAAGACTTAACGTTTCGAATTTGGTAAACGTCCTCAGTAGCTGGAACCCAACCGACCTACGTCCACGGAGCCCAGTGAAGGTGGCGACACTCCAGTCTGGACGCCCATGCCATTCCTGGGAGTCCCGTACACTCCGCCACACGCAGCTTCAGCCTGTGCTCAGGCTGAGCCTGCAGGCTCCAGCCGGCGACCAGACCCCGCGCAAACTCTGCCGGGCTCCTGCTGGCTTGCCCGCCCACCGCCCGCGGGGCGGAACCGCCGGCGCGGGAGGATTCCTAGCCTCGGCTGAGACCGAGCAGCCCTGGGCGAGGGTCCCCACAGTAGCGACAAGGCCTGCAGGTCCAGGTTACGCCCCCCAGTATGGATGGGGTCCCGCAGGGAGCGATCGCCTGGCGGGCGCGATCCTCCGGGTCATTGACCACACTGCGCCCAGTCCCGAAGGGAGCCCTCGCCACCGCCTTTTCCTGGGCACGCTTGGGGTGGTGACAGCTTCTGCTGGTCTACCCGCCCCGGTCTCAGACTTCTCCAGACTCCTGCTCCCTGGGAAGGAAAAATACCTCAGCCTGTCTTCGGAGCGAATACTGAGCAGCATCCAGAAAAATTAACTAGAACGTGGCCTGTGTCGCTTTGGGCTCTTGTGGACCGAAAATGAACCCCACCTCTCCTTACTCTCCAGCCACAGAAAAGTGACTTCGTTTTTCTAATGGAGTTGACTTAGCTTAGTACTTGAGATTTTTTGCTTCCAACGCAAGCTTTCCGGTAAATGCATTGCGAACAACTGGGGGTCTGCTCATTAGACCCCCCTTTACGCATGCACAGAGGTTTCAAATAACCGGGAGATTTAGGTATCCCTCTGTAATCATTTAGATGATGGATTGTAATGGCTCAATAGTTCCTCTGGAACCATTACGATCAATCAGGTCAAAATCCAGCTTTGGGGGAAAGTTTTTAAGCACGGGAGGTAGGTAACACGACACACACACACACACAGGCACGCACGCACACGCACACACTTGTTCAGATAACACGCTCTGATAACGTACAAGCAACTCCAGCGTCTTGGGAGGATAAATCCCAGGTGAACGCAAGAGCGGGTGTTTATTGTGACAGCGAGAGGCAAGTTAGTGTCAAAACCGAAAGGGAAAGTGAACTGTTTTTCCAGGCAGTTCCCGTTTCGTAAGTTCTTTACGAGCATATGAGTATCGTGTAACTATTTGTCACCTTAATAAATGTAACCATACACATCCGCATGCATCTACCCTTGGCTTATAAGAAGAATATGTATGAAGCACGAAAATGCATGTGGAATTTCGTGAAC